TAATACAAGTCTATAACCAACTCCAAATTTATTAAAATGTAAAAGTTAAAATTAGTTATGGAGCCTCGGACTGTTTCTTTCTATAAATAATAATGTACTTTGACTCAGAAAGCAAATATGGTAATTATCAAGTTACTATTTGCAATTTTTTTCTTAATTTTTTGATTTTTTTTCAATTTATTTAATATGGTAATTATCAAGTTACCATTTGCAATTTTTAGAAATTTTGGGAATGTGGTTGCAATTAGTTTTTTGTTTTTTTTTCCTTTCTTTTCTTTTTGTTTTATTTGAATTGAGGGTAAAATCGTCAAAATTTGATGAAAATGACGTTCTGTGCCAAGAAAGTGGAAGGTAGGGATGTTTTGTGCCAATTATCCTTATTAAAATGTAAAAATTAGTTATGGAGCCTCGAACTGTTTATTTCTATTAATAATAATGTACTTTGACTCAGAAAGCAAATATGTTTGGTAAAAAGCTTCATACTTGGAATTGAAGCCCAAAGCTTTGTTGTGTCCTTTGGTTAATTTTCTTTATTACCAGATACAATCAATGACACCAAATTTGACGGTAGACGTTTTCAACTATAAATCATTTCTTCAAAATGAAGCATTGCTTACTTACACCATCAAGAGTGGGACATTTTGTCAATTTTCAATTATAAATAAAAAGGGTTACTAATTTATTGTTCATCGATGTACGAGAAAGATATGCGCTAAAAATATTTATATATTCATTGAAAGTAATTTCATGTAATTTTCGAGGACTTTCCGAATCTAAGAAATTTTAACGTCTTCAACATTCTTGTTAATTCTACTACATTTGTTTTCTCGGTCAAATCTCTCGACTAACTTCTAATTGATCCACAAGATTAACTTTTGCATCCCTTACACAATCAACTAAACTATCCCTTTAAAACAAAACAACTCTCATACTCATTTTCAACTACATATTCACACGATAAAATATTTTGTACGTAAATTCAAAACTTTTCTCTATTTTTTAATTACACATTCTCCAAAAAATATTATTCAAAACATCATTTTTACACAATAATGACTATCAACCAGGTATATCCATGAATTCAACAACTGAATGGATACAATTCTAATTACACATATCGTGATTAGCTAATTGTTTCCTCTTAATTCGTCTCGGGTTGATTTCAAACGTACGTTAGATTGTAAAAACAAAAGGGTGACTTCAAAGTATCACCGTGGCGAAATTGAAACATTGATTGTTACATGTACACAAGCCATGGAAGGTAAATTCAGAATACAGTTTAGACAAGTGGATCATCTTGGAGACTAAGCAAGAGGTGTCTAAGTCTAAATAAACAAATATTTCTGATGAGAGCAATGAGTGATCTTAAAAAAAGGGAAAAGATTGGTCGTTAGGGAATTTAGGCCTTTTCCATGGCTTTATCTTGTATAGAAGGTCTCGTTAGATAAAAATTCTCACCACACGTGTCTTATGTTACTTCTATTTGATTGTAGGGGTAGATGCAGATATTTTGAATTGGGGACACATTCAAACATACAAAAAAAATTCGAAAATTTACATAAAAAAAAAATAAAAATAAATTTCTACCCTATATAATCTTACATCCAAAATTTTTGATGTCTTATCCCATTTAAAATTTTCCAATAAAATGATGTAAATTATATTAAAAAATTTGTATCACAAAAATAATAATAACTGAATTTTTTTGAAATAAAAGATGAGTTAGATCTCTCCTTTTAAGATGCACGTTTGGCGCATTTTTAACTATTTTAGATGTTTGTTCGGACCGTTGGATATGTCTAGATATAATTTTCTAAACGAGTTTCGAGATGACATCCGATTTGTGGATTCGATTAACGTATAATTGTTGGAGAGTTTCTAAAGTTAGAATATAATCGAAATTCTCGAAATATTAGTTTAAAACAATCTATTTTGACAAGTCATAATATTTGCTACCATTGAGTGTTTCGCGTGCCGTAGAAAATTAGGCTTTGAGCATTTTGAAATACTATTAAAAATTCAATATTTCAACTTTATTTGACATCTCATAATGACTTTGAAGATTGGGACAAAAACATAAAGAAAAAATGCCCCCAAAGTTGGGGGTTATGTGAACCCCATAGTCCATGCCCACCCCTATGTCTGCTCCTGTTTGGTTGAGTATATAATTTTGATAAAAATCTAAATAAACATTAACAATTAATTTTAACTACAAATTTCATAAGATTTACAATTTTAATTAATTTTTTAACCACATATTTTATCAACTTTTATTTAAATCTATTAAAAATTTGATATTTAACTAAGTCGAACGTGGGCTTAGTTTCTTGAGTGTTTATATGTGGTGTCTTCCATTCAATTCGAGAAAAATGCATATTAATTATGTAATACACAAAATGATTGAACAACATTATAAATTAGAAAAGAATATTAATTTAATTTACTTTTAAGTAAAAAATTCAATTTTTGGACATATTGTATTGTTCTTGTTGGTACAAAAGTTCAATCCTTTTATTTTAGTGAAAAAGGGCAACCCAAAAAAAATCAAAAGAAAGAAAAAAATAATTAAAACTTAAAGGCAACTTTGTCAAAGCATTTACATAAGAGTTTCTTATGGTGTGAGGGGCCATAACCCATAAGCAACCTCCAATTTCAAGAGTATATCTTATTAAATTGAAAATGGATATATAGAGCCTGTTTGGTATCCATTATTTTTGAAAATGCATTTTTCTCTCTCTTCATTTCAACCACACATTCTTTATTAAAATAATATTACACGTAAATCAAAAACTTTTCCTTATTTTTCAACCACACATTTCTCATCAACTTACTATTCAAAAATGCATTTTCACATAAAAATATCTACCAAACACCCTCATAGTGCTTGACAAAACTATTGATGTCTATATTGGATAATCAATTATGAGGACAGACCCATCACACCAACCAAATGCATCTTCAAAATTTGAAATTCTATTTGAATTTGAAATTGGAGGGACTGGCTAATTTTCCTAAATTTTTTGTATATTTCCTCACATTCGCTCTACTTTGATCGGGTCAATCAAAATTTTAAAAAGGATTATCATTGTCCTATCCTTAGATAAAACATCACACTTTATATAAATAGTCCGTCTTGATAGGAAAGCATGTGAAACGATACTCAAAATGCGGTTACAACATCCCGCGCGACTTAGAAGCAAACACAATTATTAATATGATGTGATATTCACGAAATATTTTTCAATTTCGTCATGACATTGGTTCCTTCGATTATAAAGAGTAAATTTACAAATACAAATCAAAGTTTACCAGGCAAGCATTTGATATTTTAAAATCTCATTTGTATGTAAATAAAATAATTATTCATTAATATATGAGCATGTACTTGGTAAAAAAAATTAATGCAATTCCTTTTTATGTAGAAGTATACTCTTTTGAAAACATTAATGTGTGTATTCATACGAAGTTATTCAATATGAAGTGATACGATAACAAACTACGATTTTCATTATAAAGTTTAATTATGAAACAACATATATCCAAGTATAATTGATTTCAAAATAGTAAGATATTCACAAAAACAAAACAAGAAATATTTCATTTTTTTATTTTTATTTGTTTATTTATTTTTGCTGATTACTCCACTTGAAAAATTAGCATGCGTTTTTCACATTTTCAAGATGAACTCGATCAAACTAGTAATTCATGAATGAGAGCATCTTTGGCATAGCTTATAAGTAAATCAAACCTTTTGTTTCAAATATATTTTTTACTTATAATTAAGAAAAGTTAAATTTCATACATACTACTGTCGAATTGAGCAATTCAATTATTTTTAATCTTAATTAACTAAAGGACTTATTTACCCTTAACCTTACTTATGAGCAATTTTTATTTACTTATTTTTATTTTTTTTAAAACCTAGCCAGATGTCTAATTTTCAAGGCCAAAAGATACACTTCATTGGATTCTTCCCCATAGTGGGCACGAGGGCATCTGCTCAAGATTGGGACTTCCAAACTAATTGAAGTGTCCACCCACCTTGCTTACCCAAAATAACACATTTCCTCTGTTTTCATGTCTAGCAAACGGTCTATTTCCTTCTACAGCCTCTAAAGTAAATTGTCCCAAGAAACATCTTGATACTTTTACAGCCTATTTAGGCCCCGTTTGGTACCTATTTTCGTAAAAATGAGAATGAAAAATATAGCCGTTACGGGATCCACACAAGATATAGAAAGTCAAATATGGTGGCCTGATGTAATGTATAACGGTCATATTTTTTCATTTTAATGAGGAAAGAATCAGAACCAAACAGGGGCTTAATATGTAAAATTTATAATTATTAAATAATATTAAAATTTCGTTCATCGTATGCCACTTCGACAAGTGCTTTCTTCCTCTTGATAATATCGTCACATTGGTTTTTTTATGTCCCCACAAAATAATTACAATATACTTAATGGTTCAATCTCTTTTAGCCCCTGTTTGATTCCCATTACCTGAAAATGAAAATGGGGAAATAGTATTTTTTAGAAAAATGAGTGGTTGAAAAAGAAGAAAAAGTTTTTGATTTTCGTGTAATATTATTTTATGGAAGATTGTGTGATTGAAAATAGGAGAGAGAAAAATGGAATATAATGTAATTTAATTTAATGGAGATCAAACAGGGGCTTAATATTGCGTACCAAACACTTGTTTGCAAAATTCACGGTTCAGAGTTTTTATTTGTGTAGTTCATCAGTTTAAATGCTCGTAAGTTTGATTTTTCAGATTAAATCAAATAAAATTACAAAGAAAATGCATTAATTAAATAAATTTTTTTACACTTATTAAGGGAAAAAAAAAAAGAAGAAGAAGCAAGTAGAAGATATTCTATTTCCTATTTCACCGCATTGGCGGATTGTACATGACAAATCAGAAATTAGACTTAAGAGCGAGGAATTAAAAGGGAGTACAACCTGAACTGTTAGACTCTTAGCCTGGAGGTTCGGAGAGAGGCTCGGAATCATGTGGCCTTCGACAGGTTACGGAGAGAGATTCAAAAAGTAGCCTCCACTTATATACTTAGCAGAAGTAGTAGTATAAAGCATAGAAGAAGCTTTTCTTTTGCACAGAGGGACTGTGTGTGAGAGAGAGAAAAGTGAAGAAGGATTTCAATGAGCATGGCCAACGCTGAACTGTAGTGTTGAAGAGAGAGAAAAAGGTTGTATTCTCTGTGACTATATCTAATTCTATTTGTTGGGATATTTATCTGAACTGATCTTGAAATCCTAAGGTCACTCTGGTTTTAGGTTCTGAGAGCCTCGAAGGATCTGATTTAATAGACATACAGATGAATTTTTTATAAGTGTTTCGTATTTCCGAAGATTTTTTGTATATGGTGGACGGATAAAATTCGATTTTAAGAGAAGTTTTAGTGATCGCCATGGCGGCAGTGGAAGGTGCATTTTCTTTTTCAGCGGCGTCAGTAGTCGAGGATGTTCTGCAACAGCACGGAAACGGATCCCGAGATCTCGATTTGGACGCTCGAAGAGCTGAGGAAGCTGGTAATTTAATCACTCTTTTCGGCTGATTTTAAATTGTTCGATTTAAACTCCATTTTTAGTTTATTTTTTGGAGCGAATTCAAATTTGATTTCTGATATATGGTTGCAAGGCATTTAACGATATAAACAATTTGATTCAGTGCAATGCTCTATATCAATCTTATTGGTTGCTGGAAGATGGAATTCTTTAGTAACAGTTTTCCTCCCTTTTATTTTTAAATCTGTCAGTTTATTTTTTATTTTTTTGAAAAAATTAAATCTATCGGATGGTGTGTGGGTTGAGTTTATGATTAATCTGACTTTTCATTGTCTGATCAAGTTTTAATGCCATTGATACATTCGCTTTTCTCTAAGAGGCATTTCTAGGAGGATTCAAAATTTACAACTTGGATCCTATTCTCAGTATATTTTTTTTGACTGTTAGAATCAAAGTTGAGTAATGCGTCTATTTCTGATTCTGTAGCCATGAGAAGATATGAAGCTGCAGCGTGGTTGAGAAAAATTGTTGGAGTGGTAGGCGCAAAAGACTTACCTGCTGAACCTTCTGAGGAAGAATTTCGGCTTGGTTTGAGAAGTGGGATTATCCTATGTAATGTAGTCAACAAAATTCAACCTGGAGCTGTACAAAAGGTTAATCCAGTTGGTCTTTTCCCCCTCCCTTCAAAATGGGCTATTTTAGTAAGTTTTAATCTATGTTTTTTTAATCTTGATTGACCTTGATCAATCTATTTCAGGTTGTTGAAAGTCCCTGCGATGCTGCTCTTATACCTGATGGTGCTGCATTATCTGCTTACCAATACTTTGAAAACGTGCGAAATTTTCTAGTAGCCATACAAGAGTTAGGGATTCCTACATTTGAGGCGTCTGATCTCGAACAAGTAAGTGTAGCTGTTGGAAGGAAAAATTTATAACGAATGCACGGACTCTTTGGGTAGTTCATCCCAATCTATAAATTAGAAGTCAAAATGTTAATTTATAATTAAAATTATAATTGGGACTTGTATTGTTAACGCTAGCCTCATTCTTGAGCTGTGCTAGATAATAGTTCATAAACATTGATAATTTTTCAGGGAGGGAAATCTTCAAGGATCGTAAATTGTGTTTTGGCACTTAAATCATACAGTGAGCATAAACTGGCAGGAGGTAATGGGGTCTGGAAATTTGGTGGAAATGCGAAAACTACTGCATCTGGAAAACAATTTGTTCGCAAGAATTCTGAGCCATTCACAAGTTCTTTGACAAGGACTCTCTCAGCAAATGAGAAATCTTTAAATGGTGTCTTTCCTGAATTGGAATCTAACAAAATGGTAAGTGTACTGTACTGTCTGATTTATATAAATTCTCTCTTCTTCTTCTTCTTTTTTTTTTTTTTCACCCTTGGACCATACAGTCATAAACTGAAGTAATTTGCCTTCTTTTTTTGCAGTCTAGTACTTCTTTAAGTATGCTTGTCCGTGCAATTTTATTAGATAAGAAGCCCGAAGAAGTTCCAAATGTAAGTGTGAATAAGCCCAATGCTAATTTAAGTGTTGCAAGTCAAAATAATATGTGCCAGCATTTTGATCCTTTACATGGGAAATCGTTGACTGGAATTAAAATGTATAGAAATCTTATGATGTGTCAGTATTTCTAATACATAATAGCAGTGCTTTCTTTTTAAGGACTTGTGAGTAATCAATAATTATATCTAATGCATTTGATTCTGAATTGTAACACCTCTGCTTGTTACAGCTTGTAGAGTCTGTATTAAGTAAGGTTGTCGAGGAGTTTGAGCATCGCATTGCAAGCCAAATTGAATTGGTATGCTATTCTTTCTAGTCATAGCTCAAATTTCTCTTGTACTTGTGAATTATAAGTACTACTCTCTTCCAGAACCACTCTGCATATCTTTTTCGATAATTTATTTATTTTATCATTGCTACATCAAGGCTATTATTGATATTCCTTCGAGAAAACTCACTGTTTTTCTCTTGTTGCATGCTTTTGTCTACCAGAGAAAAGCAACTTCAAATGATTTAAATGTTTCCCATGGGAGCAAATCTGTATTGAAACCTTCTTCATTCAACATGAAGGTAGTTTGTTTAAATGACATACACAAAAGAAATCTAGCCCTTGTTTGAGCCACATTTTATTCCTAAAAATGTATTTTTGAATAGTGTATTGATAGGAAATGTGTGGTTAAAAATAAAGAAAAGTTTTGGATTTGCGTGTAATATTATTTTATTGAAAAATGTGTGGTTGAAATGATGTCAAATCACTATTTAAGAATGTATTTTTTTGAAAAAAATGTGGTTCAAACATAGCTAGTAAGAAAGTGATTCTCTAGAAGTATGTTTCTTGTACTTATACTTTGTATTTTTATATTTTTTTTTATTAAACAAATAAGATCGATAATAAGAAGGGCTCCCTCCTGAAGAAAGATGACGTAACTTGTAAGAACTACATTACTGATGAAGAATCTGAAAGAAGATTTGTGAAGCAACAAATGATAGTGTACCAACAACAAAAAGATATCAAGGTAAAAACAAAGTGAAACTAGAACCCTCACTGTTGCCTTTGATTCTTCTTTTGGAAGGGTTGAACTGGTAAGAAATGTGAATAATTTATGTGATTTATGTGCGCCAGGAATTGAAGCAAACTCTTTCTACTACAAAAGCTGGTATGCAATTCATGCAAATGAAGTTCCATGAAGAAATTCATAATATTGGTAAAATTTTGGACACTTGCTTGCTATATTCATCTGGTTGTATACTGTAACTCTTAGTCTCTGGGTAATAGTTAATGTAAATTTCATAGTGCTTTGCTGTAATAATCATTGTTCGAGTTAATTTCCTTTACAGGCCACCACATTCATGGACTTGCTCATGCTGCTTCTGGATACCAAAAAGTTCTTGAGGAAAACCGCAAGCTCTATAATCAAGTCCAGGACCTAAAGGGTATGTAATTGTGCTTGTACAAGATCTTGTCAATTAGTTGTCTTGTATTTGAGTTCGCCTTAAACTAATGCTAAATATTTACCTTCAACCAGGAAACATTAGAGTTTATTGTCGCGTAAGACCATTCCTTCCAGGGCAATTGAATTACTTTAGCACTGTGGATCACATTGAAGAAGGAAATATTACGATAAGTACTCCAGCAAAGAATGGAAAAGGATACAAATCCTTCACTTTTAACAAAGTATTTGGGCCTTCTTCTACACAAGGTTTGTAGGCCTTCAACATAAAAATTTAAAGGCTCCTATTGCTAACTATTTAAGCCCTTGTTTGACACCTTTAAAATTCTTTACATTTTTCTCTCTTCTTTTCAACCACACATTCTTCAATAAAATAATATTATACGTAAATAAAAAAGATTTCCTTCTTTTTCAACCACATATTCTCCCAAAAAATACTATTCCATAATACATTTTACCAAAATTCATCTTTATAATGGATGTCAAACAAGGGTCAAGTTTCAAAACTTAGTTTATAACCTATTCTTCTTCTCTCTATGTTCAGAGGAGGTTTTCTCGGATACCCAACCATTGATTAGATCAGTCCTTGATGGTTACAATGTGTGCATATTTGCTTATGGTCAGACAGGATCAGGAAAAACTTACACTATGGTGAGATATAGAAGCCAAATATATTTTAAATTACGGCAACACATTTTCATTTGTGTTAAGAAACACAAATGTTAATTTTCTTATATTTTTTCCAGACTGGACCTAAGGATATTAATCAGCATACCCAAGGAGTAAATTACAGGGCCTTAGGTGATTTGTTCCTCCTTGCACAACAAAGAAAGGACACATTCCGCTATGACGTGTCTGTCCAGATGATCGAGATATATAACGAACAAGTTAGAGATCTTCTTGTTACTGATGGCTTGAATAAAAGATATCCTTTCAATTACTATAATCTTGCACCATCAAAATTTTCATTTGTATTTCTCATTGTATTACACAGCAAATTGTTCAGCTTTATCTACTTAAAGTATTCTTTAATGATAATCACATTAGAAATTCGTCATAGTTCTCAATCGGGACTCAGTGTACCAGATGCAAGTTTGGTTCACGTCTCTTCTACAGCTGACGTAATTGACCTTATGAACCTTGGACAAAGGAATCGTGCAGTGGGTGCAACTGCCCTAAATGATCGTAGTAGTCGCTCTCACAGGTGAATACAAGTGTTGTAACTATAATATTTAACTTTTTCCGGTACACTGACTTTTGTATTATTTATTGTCACAGTTGCTTAACTGTTCATGTCCAAGGAAGAGATTTGACCACTGGAGCCGTTCTCCGAGGTTGCATGCATCTAGTTGATCTGGCCGGAAGTGAGAGGGTCGACAAATCTGAAGCGACAGGAGATAGACTAAAAGAGGCACAGCACATAAATAAATCTCTCTCTGCATTGGGCGATGTGATCGCCTCTCTTGCCCAAAAGAATTCGCATGTACCCTATAGAAACAGTAAACTCACACAACTCCTCCAAGATTCACTTGGTAAGGATAAACAGAATATCAGGCTTGTTCTTTGGATTTCTCATGTTTTGGTCTTCTATTTCTTAATATGGTTTGATGATTCTTCTTAGGGGGACAGGCAAAGACACTTATGTTTGTTCATATAAGCCCTGAGCCTGATGCTGTAGGAGAAACAATTAGCACACTCAAATTTGCTGAGCGTGTTGCTACTGTTGAACTTGGCGCTGCACGAGTAAATAAGGATTCGACAGATGTTAAAGAGCTGAAAGAAGAGGTCTGTATCCTAATCCTTGCTTTCCATCGTATAAGCTAATTTGTTTAAGTGTTCAATATTGGATCATAGTTAAAAGTTGCTGAAGTTATGCTGTCTTGATAGATTGCCAGTCTGAAGGCTGCCTTATCAAGGAAAGGAGAACCATTATCCATGCAGCAATCATCTTTTCAATCTAATTTACAAGCTAGAAATGTGAGCATGCAGTCACCTAATGGCCTCAGGAAAGCAATGGAAGATGTAGGGAACATAGAGGTATATGCACTTGCAACATTTTATGGGCATTGGCTTTTGCTATTGGTCAAAATTCTTGTGTACTTGTATATAACCAAGGATCATTCGAAGTAAGACCGTACATTATTGAATTGAAGTAAGAGCATATAATGTTCATTCAACTGTTTTGATCAACTGTGCTTTCTATAGTTAACTTCAATGTATTTTTTTCCAATAAAAGTTTATAATTTCTGTTTTAATCTTCAAAAATCTCGATTTTATAGTTGTCTCTGCTGATATCACAGGTCCACAGCAATTCTGCACAGAGGCAAAGCTTTGATCTTGATGAGCTACTTGGGAATTCACCTCCCTGGCCGCCAGTAAGCAGTCCTCGTCAAAACTCCGGGGAAGATGACAGAGAGACCAGCTC